GGACTTGGACATTCTTGTCTGTCTGACGGCCAAGTTTGCACCACCCATTTCAACCAACAACTCCACCGCGGCGTTACTTACATAATGAGGAACAGAGCGAACCCCGACATGTACAGGTTCCTCTGTGCACGGAACAGATGCATCATGATGTTCATGTGACTGGCGGGACGCAGCGCTCCCTCTGCACCCTCCTCATCCTTCAAGTCCCCGTACTTCAGGGACTCACGGATACCATCTAAGTTCAACAGTTTCAAAATGGCAATCAGCTGCAGAAATGGCAGACTTGACCCCCTTACCCATACTGCTTTGCAACCCTTCCAGCACTGCGTTGTGTTGTGTATAGTGTGTATAGTGGAACTTACAGAAACTCACACCTACATATATTCACATACACTCATGCACAAACATGCATGGAGGCACATACGCATGCAAGTACGTACGCACACACACCAACTCTGAATCTCTTTTTATCTCTCTCCCTCTCTCTCTCTCGCTCACTGACTCATTATTTGACACTGACTGTCCTAAAAATACCAACCTCCAAACAGCAGCAGAAGGATGGCTATCAGCACGTTGAAGTACAGGTTGCCATGTTGTACAAACCAGTTCAGCAGGGCTGATTTGAAAATCTTCTGCCATCTACAATGAATAGTAAAATTCATCATCTTTGGGCCCAAGGGAACCCATAACAGATACCACATACCACTAAATAGAATTTAAAAAAGGTATCTTTAGTACAGTTCATCTGTTTTTGGTATAGGGAAAACTATTTTCCAACACATGAGAGTGTACTCACTATTTCTTCTCTAGAAACGGCTAACCTATTTTATCTTAATTAACATCATACTGCATAAAATAAATAAAAAATTATATATGTGACCAGCAGGCAAATCGAGTTTTTCATTAATAAATAAAGGCTCAACAAATTTCATGCAACTTTATATGGTCAGACTGTGCTTTGTCCTCACCTTCTGGCAGATATGAATGGTATGCACAGGAGAACACACACGCCGATTTCTGCGTAGAGAAAAGTCGCAACGATCGTCCACTGGATAGTCATAATGTATGGGTGTCCACTGGGAGGACAGAAAACATTCAGTACATTCAGATCATGTATGTGACTATGTAGTTAAAAGTATGTGTGTATACGTCATGTGAGCATTATATGTATGTGTAACATTATATGTGTTTGTACATTTGTACGTACTGACAGGATTGAAACCACAAAGTTTTAATTGTTACCCCCCCTCGCCATGAATTTATTTCAGCTTATCATAAATCATTCACATGCATCCTGCTTTCTAATCCAATGGGATGTAGAATAAGGTTTTGAAGATAATAAGAAGATTGAGATTAGATATGGGATTAGCATTTTTGATGTGTGAATGACATTTAGAAAATTCAACTTCCAAATGTAGACAATTTTGTCTTTATCATTTCCACGGGTTCCACCTTAACAATACTATCCAGCCACCAAATGCCATGACAAATACATACATTTCAACATTCCATCCAGAAAATTCCATTTGCTGTATGTCACCTTGTCTTGTTTTCGCAACAATATTTAACACTCCTTTTGTTAATGACCCTACAAAAATACACGTATGACCATCTTGTGTCAGTAAAAACTGCAGTAACATGAATATCAATATTCCCAAATTTTAAGTGGAAATATAACCCATCACAAGCCTCACTATCCACTACCGTTTGGGAAGTAAGTGTCAAGTAGAACACTTCCAGTGTTACCAAAGGCCGTCCATGACACAATAATTGCCCAGTATTTTGTCTATAAAACTATATATGGTGGATACAAAATCACAGACTGCACAACTACTAGTATACAAGAAAGACAACATCTGTCATTGCCCAACACATACCTCGTCTACGAATTCTCCTATTTTACTAAAAAAAACGGCCCAAATTTTCCTCCGACGGCTTCTCTGTTTTAGGGAGAACAGGAACACTAGGGAAAACCGCACCGTGCAGCTATTTTAATACCTCGTCTGACCTGGAGAAACCGGAGTGAAACCATGACGTGTCTCAACCAAGGAAGGGCACGAACGCACATATGAGTCACACCCACACCCACTTTCGAGATGTTTACCAACAATTGTTTACATTGGAACTTACAATAATATGTCATACGACAGATTAACTTACCTACAGGCTCGTGACGTAACTGTTTAACGGGAAAATGGGCTTTCAAAAGCGCAATTTTTGCACGTATACCTGGACCAAGCCAAGCGAAATGTTTATGAATTTGGGCCAGTGGAAGCTTACATTATCATTGAAGGGGTGGGCACTTTCTGACTATAGAATACCATACTCGAAGAACCTAAGAAGCAAACATGTTTACACATCTAATAAATAATAGATATTCTATTTAGATATAAAATTGAAATAGCATAGTGTATTACATTATTATGGCATTAACACCGACTTTTTTTGATAGATATTATCTTATTACTCCTAGAAGACAGTAGACTATCCTACTGACCTTTTACCACTATTCTCGCGAGAAAGAGCGTGATTGCTGGTCAGGGTGCGAAGGCGGGACATTCAAATACAGCATCAACTTTTGGGCCCTGTATAGTATAGGACACCGAGATCGCCGTTAAGTTATTTATTTATAAGCTAAAGTACAATTGCTCGGCGTAAACAACGACGTAAAGAATCTTTGAATCATGCTTCGCCTCTTTTTCTTCAATGAGTCGTTATCCTTTCCGAAACTCCGTTGTACTACTTGTAGCACATTGATAAAGGTCAATCCATTCATTCATTCATTCATTCAATATTCATTCATCCTATAATTCATTCATTCATTCATACGTCATTCATTCATATGTAGACCGGCATCGAAAACCATGAATTAGATTTTAGAAAGCACGTGGCGACCTTCTTGACAAGTGGTCACAAGTGTTCAACATTTACTCCAAATCACAAACACTCCAGCGAACTGCATTCGCACTAAAAACAATGAGGCATGTTTTGCAGTTGAACTTCTTTATTGATGATACAATCATGCTAGATGGAACCCCCGGTGACAAGACAGTATCACGTGTCACTTGGATCTTTCTATTGTTGTTGTGACATAATCATGGTTCATTATGGTGGCACTACCCAGTACAACTGCATTTTCATTCCCTTAGCCAATCACCCTTCTATAGCCAGAAAGCGAAGCTATCTCGTTGTTGAACATGGTTGATACCATGGATATGGATACATTCAATCTAAGAAGCAATTTAGATTTCTTTCTATTCATTCCCAACATTATCGTGTATAGTGTAAAGCTCTACAAGGAAGAAGCTAGGTACGTTGACACTTAAATGATATAGATTGCTATTGAGTTGCTCTTGGATATAGTATGCGATCAAACTGCACTACATTCTATACAACAGCCTTAAACGTAATGAGCAACATAGAATCGTATCTAAAGCAAATCAACTTACTAATGCAATTTCATTGAACAGTTCATTCAGCTTCATTATAATGTGCACCCTCACAGAAGTGTGTAACATACAAATGTTCTTTTGTGGAATAAGTTCTAATATGTTGTTCTATCAAATAAATTTCCATTCTACTATTACATGTGCTGAGGAATGTCTCACTGAATAGACCGAGTTGCATAGTTCACGTAAGTAATATAGCTATATTGCAATACTTAGCAAAAGAAGGCTTTGATCTAAAATGAACGATTTGTAATCGTCAGCAACTTGCTCTAACTGCCAATACCGGCTCTGCATTGTGACTTCTCTAAATGCTGATGGCCTCAGGCGGACATGTCAGCTGATATCAGCTAGCCGTCACAGGTCTTGATGAAGATGGCCATGACGTCAGCAATGCCCACATTTCCCGGATCTGTATCGGGTCAAAAATGACATGGACATGATGTTATAGTTCTTTTCTATACCTTGATTTCCATGCACGAGGAGGTTTAGAATCATCAAATCCCAAACCAAATTCTCGGCTAACCCTATGCCTCTCCAACAATCCATGAAATGTTTCGAGGACAGTACAGGAAGATACTTACCTCGCTCAAAATTGACGCTGGTGGACCGCTTGGAAAACAGGATCCGCGGGGTGCCAGCAGTCCTTTTCTCCCAAGGACAGCCGTACGAGTTTCCATCAAGGACGACCAGCCAACCGTTATCAGCAGGGCAGCCTCCGTAGTTTCGGTTGATGAAGAATCGCCTAATTAACAGATTTATGATCATATGGTCAATATTGATTCTAGCCTGGGTGCCATCCGAATTTGTAACGGCTTGTAAAATCTTTTTCGGGGGAGCCGTTACAAATTCGGATGGCACCCAGGCTGATTTTTTCGGGGGAGCCGTTACAAATCGGATGGCACCCAGGCTATATTGATTCCCCCAAAATAATACTTTAGAGAAACCATGACAAATCAAGCCTCCTTGGACAAATGAAAATAGTTATTACCGTGACTCTATATATGTTCTGTCTTAATTGATGCAAGGATTGCAATTTATCAGGTAGTCGACTTGAGACATATCACCTGGCCACAATATTGTATTTTCGCTTCAGGCATCAGGGGCTACTAACCTCAGATGATTCGCCGTATTGTTTGAAAGACATCAGGTCCAATAATCTACACGTTTTGTTTGTTGCTTATCCCTTGAATTGTGTGTGTTCTGTTTGTCTGAATCTGGTGCACTTAACTTACCTATTAATGCGCCAAGCCACGTCACGGTGTCCTGAGATGGAAAAGTAGTTGGTGGGTGCGCTCTTCAGGTCAGTCCACGGCGATGAGATGACACGGCTCTTGGAGAACCAGCTGTGCTTGGTACTTCCCGCCCCGTTGAAGATGATGTCCCGAGTTTGCAGTGTTGGGCTGAACGTGTACAGGGACACCTTCACCTGTCAAACAAAACCGTTAACGTGTTAGTGTTGTTGTATGTTGACAAAGTAGGAGCTCTGGTTGAAGTAGTAAGGCTCTTTTTCTACAAATGGTTTCTACAAATTGAAAGTTTGTCATTTTT